CAAAAAAAAAAAAAAAAAAAAGCCGCGATTGCAATTGCGATCACGATCTGCGGCGGCAATTCGGCGGGAGGTCCTTCACGCCGAGCGGGAGTGAGGGACCGTCCGCCGAATTGCCGCCGAATACCTGGACGTGCCGCCCCTCTCTGGAGCGGCCGCCCCAAGCACCTGCTTGCCATGCTGGTGCCTGGAGCTGGCCCTGGTCACTGAGTGGCCAGACAGGTTGAAGTGTTCTCCCACTGGTTTTTGAATGTTAGGATTCCTGATGTCAGATTTGTGTCCATTTATTCTTTTGCGCAGTCTCTAAGGTGCCGCAAGTACTCCTGTTCTTTTTGCGGATCAAGGCAGAGTGCACTAGAGTCAGATGGGAATCGGGGTGGGGGGTGTGTGGAGAATAGATTCATAGATTCATAGATTCTAGGACTGGAAGGGACCTTGAGAGGTCATCGAGTCCAGTCCCCTGCCCGCATGGCAGGACCAAATACTGTCTAGACCATCCCTGATAGACATTTATCTAACCTACTCTTAAATATCTCCAGAGACGGAGATACAAGTACCGGAGCTGGATTTTCCTTTCCAGCTGGAAGAGACTCGGTGCAGGGACACCCCCCCACCCCCGGATTGGGCTGTCCAGCTGCAGAGGTCTCTGGGTGCAGTCCCGCTTTGCTGAATCAGCGCACAGGACACACATCATACAAAAGCAGCAGGGAGGGTCTGGCTTTGCGGGGTTTACAGTGACTAAGGCCATGGGCTGGGAGCACCCTGACACTTGAGTCCAGAACCCGTCCCATTCTCACAGTAGCCTTCACTGGCAACGCCCCTGAAATCTGCTGCAAAGAGCCTGGCATTCAGGGGCTGGGGCACACGATGAGGATCAGGACAGTCTCACCTGCTCCCTCCTGTAAGCCAGTCAGTGCAAATCCTCTCATGTAGCCATGTCAGGAACCAACCCCCTGACTGGGGTAGGAGGGCTCCAGAGCCTCAAAACCCGTGGGGAGCTGAGGGCTGAGCCCATCAGGGGCACTGGTGTCATGGGGATGGATGGCTTTACTCCAGGGATAGATTTGGCCCAGGGAGTCTATCTTGCTTTATCCCAGCCTTCCTCACCAGAGAGCCCCGCTCATGGCCACCAGGGGGCAGCCCAGGCCCGGAGATGGCTGGCAGCCCAGCCTCCAGCATCCAGCATCCCCAACTCCAGGCAGAGACCGTGAGAACAGGCGAGGAGAGCGACAGAGACTGCTGGGGGAGCGGGGGGCTGTTCCGGGGCTCGCGGCCTGGGAAGGAGCTGGGACCGGGGGCGCAATGTGATCTCAAGCTGCTCTCCAATCCAGAGCTGTGCAGGGAGGACCTCCCCCCCAGCCTCAGGGACGGGGCAGGCACCAGGGCAAGGGGCTCCCACTTCTCCTCGTGCACCCAGCTGGGAGAGCTGAAGTGCCCCAGCAGTTGGGGGTTAAACCCCTGCTTGATTCCCCATCCCCAAGTCTCTCTGGCCCACCCGGGGGGGGGGGCGCTCAGCAGGGGGGAGGGGCCAATCCCATTCACACCCAGGGCACTGCTGGGGTCTGACACAGGCTTTAGAGACCCTCACAGGCCTAGCCCATGATTCCTGCCAGCAGCCCAGTCCCTCCTCAGCTGCTCTGTGCCCAAGCCTCAGGCCTGCTCCCAAGTCCAGCTGTACAGGGGAAAGGCCCATCTCCCTTCCCGCAGCAGGAGACCCCCCCACACACACGCACACAGACTCCCCCCCCCCCCACACACACACACACAC